AGATTTTTTCGCATAAATTTTGTTGTTTCTGAAAGTCAAAAGGTTTAGCACTTATTCAGGCTTCCAACAAATCAAGCAAGCTAACTGTTTTGGTTGGTAGTTTTTGAGTTCTTCAATTTATGCTGGAAGCCAGAGGACTATTGAGGATAATGCAGCATAAATCCAAATAGACCAGGTTATGTTGAGCATATTGCCTGCTTGAAAACTAAAACAGTATAACAATTTGAGGGAAAAAATGAAAGAAAGGTGCTGATGAGTCTTACTTCTGTTGCTCCATTTAGAACAATTCCATGAACTTTACTCTCTTTTATTTGTATGTTGTCCTTCGATAAATCAAAGAGATCTCTGAGAGAAATTGATATAACTTAAGATGCATGCTTATGGATATAGCCAAATTGAGTTAAAGCAATAGATATGGATCAATAGAATCTCCTCAGGTACAAGTACTGGTCAGTGACACAAACCTTACTTTCTCCATGTAGATCTCTACCTGTAAGAGTAAGAAATTTCCTTAGAAGAGATTAAAGAAACATAGCATTTGCCATATAAAAGGTTAAAGTCAATAACAATAACATCCTAATCAACAAATTGTCACCATTGATAATTTGATTGCGTATTTGCTAGGTTTCTCTGAATTCGTTATGGCTTCAAAAAGCCCATCTACCACTCTCTGCAATAGGCCTTTCTTCTTGCTTTCACAATCTACAATGCTTGGTCCCTAAAGCAAACAGAGTCAACAATGAACTAATACGTCCATAAAACACAGATTTATGAATGTTATAAAATCATTTTACCTCCATGCTATATGTCTTTCCTGCTCCTGTCTGAGAAAACATCAAAAGAATAAAAGAATAGTCAACGAAAAATACGAAAAGGGAAAAAACTTTCTACTACTGTAATCATTAATAATTCAACACTAGGAATTGAGTGATGTCCTTGTACTCATATTTGATCCTTCACTAATCGGACTCAATATTTGTACTGAAAATCTTCAATTCACATATTAAAATTGCAGGCATGCTTACATAAAAAAGGCTGTAATCAAGCATTTACCTGACCATAAGTGATAATTGTACCGTTTATTGCATCTAGGGCACCTATTTTCACCATCATCAGGACAACGAAAATTCTAAATGAGAAGATCAACTGAATTTTAAATTCTTTCAGTTTTTATAATAACTCTCACGAAATTCGATTGTACCTTGGACTATAGGCAGAGCTAGAAATTCATATATATCAGCTTGTTCAGATCCTTGATAGAAAACTCTGTCGAAGGTAAAATCAAATTCCTGTTCCTTTTCATCCTGTAATGATGTTACAAAATCAACTAAGTAGTAAAACCTCATTCTGAATAGCTTATACGAAGATTAAGTAGTGCACTTCCACGTTTTCGCAATACATACACAGACTTCGCATTTGATTTGAAATTAACAGAAAAAACAATACAGGAAACAGAGAATTGAGCTTTAAAACCTTGACTATGAAGGACTCAGAGTTAATTCCTTGAACAGAGACAGCATCGCCGAACTCAGATAGTTCCTTCGGATTTAGAGGCCTGAATAGCACACAAACTTTCATAGTAGACATTTTAAAGCAGATCAACGATCAATCAATTGAAAAAAAGATCTATGTAAACACGTATTTGATCAACCAGCTATGAAGATTTTCCCGCCAAAAGAGCTTCGAGAACAGAAGGGAAATAGCCGAGAAACACCTTTTGGAAACTGCCGTTATTTCTTTCTTTACGTGACAATTTTGTCGATTTCAATTTAAGACTAACCCAAATTACTCCATTCATCTCATCTCAAATATAATTGATTTAATTATAAATTTTTGATATTTAAATTTTTTTTTATTTCAATTTATGTAATATCATTTTTTTTAGTATAATTCAACAAGAATATCATTTTTTTTATTTAAAAGCAATTTAATTTTAAAATTTTTATTTTAACTTTACAAAATAATTTATATAGTCATATAAGTATCTAGTATACTCTATGTAAAGACGAGAGTATAACTGTCGATTTGTTTACAAAAACATCACATAAAACTCGAGTCGACTTTCTCTATAATAAATTAAGCGTGATTAATATACATGCTTCAAACTTGAAGAGGAGTGTTATATATATATATATATATATATAGTTGTTTCTTAAATCCTAATATGTACAAAGTTTTAGATACCATAAATATAGAAAAAATTGTAATTGTAAAGAAAATGACAAAAAAGGATAGAAAAATTCATTCAGGCGTAAGGCTTGGATAGATCCACCAAAAGAATAAATTCCTCTAATATATAATTACCTTCTTTTCTATAGTGAATTAGTTGAAAATTTACAATATTATTTTTATTTCAATTCTCTTTTCACTACACTAATCTCTATATAAAAATATTTATCATTCTTTTTTACATTACTAGTTCTCGAAATGCACATTGCACGTTTGTCCCCTAATTGATATTAGAAAAGTTAACTTATTTAACTAAGTTTAAATTTAAGTCCTTTCATATGTAAGTTTAACATAAAAATATAACTCTGCACAAATATAACATGAAAATCTTGTGTTAGATGTTGGAGGTTTGATATTCTAATTACATCATGAAAAATACTTTTTTAATTATATCAGAGGAATTAATATATTTTAATTACTAAACATAAGTTTTAATAATAAAAAAATTGACTATAAAAAAAGAAATGTATAAAGAAAAATATTACAAAATATTTGAGCGACATACCATCAAATTTATAGAAAAAATTACAATTTCAAAAGGAAAAAAAAAGTAAATAAAGGGATGACATCCATAGTAAAAGACATCACATTAAAATCTATAGACAAAAATATTTTCATACTCATTGAACTATATTTTATTAGAAGTCGACTTACTGTAGACAAAACATATCATAGATATAAAAAACTATAATCATATAATAATAATAAAAAAGATAAACAGGAAAGAAAGCATGAATTATGTTAAGAATAAAGATGCACTATATTTCTTGAACTATATATTAAAGGATCTATATATATAAAAATAAATTAAATATAAATTCTAAAATAATATTATTCAATGTATCACTTAGTCATTTATTTACTATATATTATTTTTTATTTTACTTTTACTTTTGCACTTATTTTGTACCTCTCTATAACAGTTAATTACATGAATTTTTTGAATATTTGAGATTACATATAAAAATTAAAAAGTACAAATATGTTGTTTTAAAAAGATCAATGACTATCAAACAATGAAGAAGACATAATTATTATTTTATGAGATTTAACATGTCTACCCTCAAAATAATGAATATAAACACAAAATGTGATTAACTTTACTATATATCCTAAAGATAGAAGAAAGGATGAATTAAAAAATACAGTAATCTATTACGAAGTTATATTTTAAAATTCAAAACGATGGAGACATGAAAAAAAATTCACTTACAACTTCAGATTGTAGTAGATTCATCTTGTAACTATCATAAATTTAAATATTTGTTGACGAAAAAAATGAATATGCATGAAATTTTAAAGAATACGAATAAATAAAATAGTAAGAATTCTTATAATTACAAACTGGTAATGAAAATTGTACAACCGATATAGACTAATCTATTGTAGAATGCAAGATGATCATAAACTTGAACAAAAGAAAGAATATATAAATAAAATGGTGTGAGTGTGTTTGATAGACTCTTCATTACCTCCACTTATCTTACAAATTAAAATTGAAAGGTTATTAGACTCTTCATTACTCACATTTAATTAATACATGAATATATGATGCATTAAGATCTTGTTTGATACATGAATTTAAATATAATTACTACTTAATATTTAATTAATTAAATAAATATATTAATTTATTTTAAAAATAAAATAAAAATAAAATAATATTTCAATTTTGAAATTAGTAACTTTTCACTTATAATAATACGTGATATGATCATGAAAAATTCATAAATAGTAAATAAGATAAGTAAATGATCTAGAAGTTACATGAATATTTACGTATGAATAATAAGTTAACTAGTGGTTAGGGGAGTTAATAAGGAAAAGTATAGCCACTAACTAATGATATATATATATAGTTAATAACATGCCCAATAGTGCCCAACGCACTGATGAAAATGCTGCACCAGATGGCAGCTTTTACATTGTCAGATTAAGAATTTTAATTATGCACTTTAATATAATATTAAAATGCTCAATATTTTATATAGACACACCAACATTTAGTTAAAGAAAAAAACAAATTACATTTTTTCGTGTGTTAAATCAGAACTCAGAATTAAATATGAAATGCCAATGTCACGTACTAGAAATACATAATACATAAATATATTTTTTATATTTTATATTCATATTTTTTAATTTTAAATATGTACAAATAAATATATAAATTTGTACAAAATTAAATAAATAGATGTATACATTCTATATGACAATTTACATCTTATGACGTGGTATATTATATGTATTATGTCATATAGAACTCACGTGTCTATTTATTCAACTTTCTATAAGTTTAAATATTTAGTTATGCACACTCATAATTAAAGAGTATAAATATAATATTCTGTCCGTTTTAAAATAAGTGATGCATGAGAACCTATTCATTCCTAGTAATGAATATTTAAAGTAGCTTATCCCTAATCAAAGAAAAGCTAATAAGTGGTTATTGATAATGTAAAGAAAAGATAGACAAGATTGTTCTTGAAACACTAAACCACCACTTATTTTGGAAGTATATAAACTAATCATCTTGTTACTCGTGTTTAGTTGGCGCCACTATATCTTAAAATAAGAAAATAATTTATGTGTAACGCAAAGGATAATATAAAAGCAGTTAACATCGGCAAGTGAATCACATTGTGTTTTGCTGTTTTTATACGTTTCAGATCTGCCAGGAACTTCAAGTCTCTTTTTCTGTGACAGTCCAAATGAGAAGTGAAATGTACTCCCAGCTTTTTTTCATCCTACTACTCTCCATCTGCTGTAAAATGAGTGATGTAGTGGCAGCTAATTCCAGTAAATGTCTTAAGGATCAGAAGATGTTGCTGCTGCGGCTGAGAAATAACCTCACTTATGATTCTGAAATATCCACCAAGTTAGTGAAGTGGAACCACAGGATTGACTGCTGTCAATGGGAGGGTGTCACTTGCAACAGTGAAGGCCAAGTTATTGGTCTTGACCTCAGTGCTGAATCATTCTCGGGCAGTATCACTCCGTTAGCTGATCTTAAATTTCTCTCTATTGTCCGTCTTGATGGGAATGATCTATCTGCCCCAATTCCAGAGTTCTTTGCGGAACTCACTAATTTAACTGTCTTCAGTCTAAGTTCCTGCAACTTGATAGGAGAAGTACCTCAGAAGATATTTCAGGTACCAACTCTGCAAACAATTGACTTATCAGAAAATGAGATGCTTGGGGGTTCTTTACCTGAATTTCCTTCAAAAGGATCTCTCCAAAACATGGTGCTTAGTGATACCAAATATTCAGGAAGTTTACCCGAGTCCATAGGGAACCTTAGGAAGTTGTCGCGTATTGAACTTAGAGCTTGTAATTTTACAGGTCCAATTCCATCTTCTATGGAAAATCTAACCCAGCTTGTTCTTCTGGATTTCGAGTTGAATAGCTTCACGGGTTCATTTCCATCTTTTAAGCTGTCGAAAAATCTCACTCGTATATACTCTGCTAGAAATAGATTGACAGGTATATCATCCGACTGGCAAGGCTTTGAGAATCTTGAGTATCTTGACTTGAGTAGCAATTCGATATCTGGGCTCATTCCAGAATCATTGTTTTACCTACCCTCACTTTCAGATTTAATTCTGTCAAGCAACAACTTTTCTGGCCAAATAACTGAATTACAAAATGTGATTTCTCCACTAACAACTCTGGAGTTGAGTTCCAACAATTTGGAAGGGCTAATACCTGAGTTTATTTTTGAGCTACATGATCTTTATGGTCTTTCACTTTCATTCAACAAATTTAATGGTACTGTGCAGTTGGAGAAGTTCACAAAGATCAATAAACTTGTAGATCTTGATCTGTCCCACAACAGTTTATCAGTTGACACAAATATAAGTGAATCGGACCTTGCCTTGCTACCCCAGCTGAATAGTTTCATGTTAGCGTCATGCAATCTGCAGAATATTTCCTTCCTCAAGAACCAATCAAAGTTGTCAATGTTAGATCTCTCAAACAACCAGCTTACAGGTGAAATACCAAACTGGTTGGTGGAAATCAATGATGGACTTCTGCGTTTTCTGAATCTTTCTTTCAATCAATTTATGCGTCTTCAAGAACCATATACAATCGGCTTTCTCATGAATTTCCTTGATCTGCACTCAAATCTGCTCACTGGGGTTATTCCATTACCACCAAGTGCAGCTGCTTATATTGACTTCTCAGACAATAACTTTTCTACTTTTCCACCTGACTTTGGCAATTATCTAGTAACTGCTCGTTTCCTCTCAATTGCAAACAACAAAGTTATCAGTAGTATTCCTTCTTCGATATGCAACTCCAGCTATCTTGAAGTACTTGATTTGTCAAACAACAGTTTGAATGGCATAATACCATCATGTTTAGCAGAAAAGAGCAGCACATTGAAAGTACTGAACCTGGGAAAGAACAATCTCATAGGAAATATACCTGAAAAAGTTTTCTTGTAATTGTGAGTTACAGAGCCTTGACCTCAGCCAGAATCACTTAACAGGTGTGCTTCCTCGTTCTTTGTCCAACTGCACAAGTTAAAGGTACTAAATATTGGAAACAACAAGATCAAGGATACTTTCCCCTGCTGGTTGAGGAACATGTCAGATCTTCGTGTACTTATATTACGCTTCAATGGTTTCCATGGGAACATTGATTGCTCACGAGTGAATTCCAACTGGACAGCACTTCAAATCATGGACCTAGCTTCCAACAAGTTAGGGGGTGTTCTTCCACGAGGTTCATTCTTGGAGCTAAAAGCAATGATGGCTGACCCATCATTAACACATTCACGCTCTGATATCTTGCATTTTGAGTCTTCTATTAGTCCAATATACTATCAGGACAGAGTCATTCTTTCTCTTAAAGGACAAGATGTTACACAGACAAAGATCTTTCTCTTCTTCACCTCAATTGACTTTTCAAGTAACAATTTTGTGGGGAACATACCAGAGATAGTTGGAGATCTCAGATCACTTTATCTTCTCAATATTTCACACAACAATCTCATGGGTCAAATGCCACCAGCAATTGGAAATTTGAAGCAATTGGAATCACTGGACCTCTCATTCAACAAGTTAGGTGGCAATATCCCAGAAAAGCTTGCTAGCCTCACATTTCTTTCCTTCTTAAATTTATCATCTAATGAATTGGTCGGAATGATTCCACAAGGCAACCAAATTCAAACATTTGGAGGAAGTTCTTTTGAAGGAAACAAGGGGCTATGTGGGTTTCCGCTAAACAGAATTTGCATGAATAAATCAGCAGATGCACCTTCTGAGCCAGAAGTTGAAGAGGAAGAATTCATTTCAAGGACGGAGATTTATGTAAGTGCTATATTGGGATTGGTTGTTGGTATTGGGATCATCTTCCTACCACTTCTGTTCTCAAAAAGATGGAACCAGTCGTACAACAGAATAATGGACAGATTAATTTTAAGGATATTTCAGCAGCAAGGTCAAGAAAGGAAAAGTAGTAGCAGTAGTGTAGCATCTTGGAAAAAGGTAGCAGGGAAATCAAGAGGCAGCCATTAATTTCACAGGATGTAACACTTCCTTGCAGCATGCTGCTAACTATGTGTACTTCTAATTGTTTCCACTATGAGTTATCAGTGTTTGTTTACCTTTCATATTCATTTTAGTGGCTTCTTATTAGATAGAAGAACACAATTCAATGTTGCATTCTGTTTTAGGTAACGGTCAGTGAATAGCCATAACAAACCTCATAACAACCTCTCTCTCTTTCTTTTTTTTTAAAGAAACAGAAGCCAACTTAGCCATTTTCTAAGTAAAAAATAGTTTATACAAGTTCTCCCTTATTCTTGGTAGTCAGATTCGTTCTGCGCAGACAATATGACTTCTTCAAGTTCCTTACTGAAGTCCTTATCGAAATCCTGCTCTTCATCTACTTCTTGTTGGGAGAAATTATCCTGCTCTTATCGGACAACATCAACTGAGTCTTTGACAGGCTGATGACAAATACCAGTTTTCTGATAAAATAATATCTTCTGAGTTTTCCAGTCCTCAGCTGTCTTCTCGACCACGTCTCCTATCAATGTGTGGTTCTCTGTTTGTGCTTTATGTTTTCTACATCCACCATGTCACTAGCCCCTTTGATATCTAGATATTTGGCCCGTGCATATGCTGCCGGCTTTTGCTTGAGCAAATCCACCTCAAGCTCCGACCTCATATCCATGTGGGTGAAGTGCTCAATCTAGCTATTTGCAAATAACCATTTGGATACTTGCATTTTGTATTTCTTCCAGTTCATCATCTCCCTGCTGCCGAGCTTTCATTTATATCCACAAAGCCAAAAAGAAACATGTTTCTATCTAGCATATGTTTGACTAGAACTGGGACTAGTTTAACATCTTTTGGCCTTTGTCTCAAGGACAAGATTCCTAAGATTCTTCAACTCTCAACAGAAATAGAAAAATCTTGAAAGGAGGCCTGAATGGGTGTCTCATAAAGGTAATATACTCCACCTAATCTCCTTAAAAGAGAATGAGTAGAGACCATGTAACCACTGCAGTATGATTAAAAAGATTGTATATAGCATGCCTGATTTTTAGATGAACTAACCTCGAAAATATAGGAGAACTTCTCAGAAATCCACACTCTCTTCTGTAAAAGTAGGAGATCCACCCTTGGTAAATTCATAATATAAGCTCTTCAATGTCTAATTTGAATGGCTCATGGTCCTTGTTGACTTCTCTTAATGGCCTTGACATCAAACTTTCAAAGGCATTCCACAGCTTGTTGAACTTTTAAACTTCCTGCTTAACCCTTATTCTCTCCTTGTAAATCCTTTATGTTCATTGTCCAAGTTAAATGGCTCCTGCACAATTTTTGCCTGAAAGTGTATGATTTAGACAAAAGTTCATCTACTATACAGTAGATAATGAATGTATTAATGCATATATATGTAACGTTCTCAAAAATAAACCAAAGTATATTCGATCAGACTCCACAATTGATTTGAAATTAACAGAAAAATCAATACACGAAACAGAGTTTTGAGCTTTAAAAACTTGGTTACGAAGGATTCAGAGTTAATGCCATGAACAAAGACAACATCCGGATAGTTCCTTCGAATTCAAAGGTTTAAAGCCTAACTCATGCTCCAAAATCTATTTGCTTAGCATTTGGTGCATGGGCAATTTGTTGCGCGTGGCACTTTTGGGCAATTTTTGACCCACTTCACGCCCATCCCTGCTCTAATACCATGTTGAATTTATTCATCTTATTAACCGGCAATGTAAAACATTTTGCTTTAACACAGAATAGCACACAAACTTTCATGGTGGACATATTTAAGCGGATCAATGATCAATCTGGAAAAAAAACATGTATATATACACGTATTTGATCAACGAGCAATGTAGGTTTTCCCGCGAAAAAGCTCGGAGAAAGAGGGAAAATGCCCGAGAAACGCCTTTGGAGTGTGTTTATGAAAATTTGAAACCTACTATTAATAAGTACTACTAATAATTTTGTGCATTTAAATTTAAGATTAACCCAGATTACTCCATTCATCTAAAAAATAGTAATTGAATTGTTTCATCTCATTTGATATTCAAGTTTCAATTATTGTTGTAAATATTTTCACTCCGGCTATCCCCTTTTTTTGTTTAGTGTGACATATTTTATTTCTTAGTTTATCAAAAAAATATTAATTAGAAACTAAGAAAACATGGTCAATTTCAATTTCTCAATCAAAGGAGGGAGTACAGTATTTATAAAGTTAGATATGAGATGTTAATTTCATATAGTACAGCTTATGATTTATTTATTTATTTTTATCACATGTTTTGTTTGTCAATAAATATATTTGTGGCACGTTTTCATAAAATAAAAACACTAACGATGGAAATATAACTTTCTTACTACTATATAATATAATTTCAAATGTAAATATAGAAAATATAGTCAAATAAAATTAACATCCTGTGGAAAACCGTGTAGGTCCACACTCCAGTTTCCACTGTCTTTCAATTTCAAAAATAAATTGATATTATAAGTAGACACACGGATCACGGTGTCAGCTTTTTAAAATAATACATAAACTAATCATCTTGCTTTACTCATGTTTGATTGGCGCTAGTATCTAAAATAGATAAAAACATTGATCTGTTAGCCAAATAAAAATTATCCAAACGAATCCTGTTGTTTATTTGCGAGAATTTTTGCTATTTTATACGTTTCAGATCTGCACAAACTCGCGAGTTTCTTTTTCTGTTGACAGTCCATATGAGAAGTGAAATGTTTTCCCAGCTTTTATTGATCCTACTACTCTCCATCTGCTGTAAAATGAGTGATGTAGTGGCAGCTAATTCCAGTAAATGTCTTCAGGATCAGAAGATTTTACTGCTGCAGCTGAGGAATAACCTTACTTATGATTCTGAAATATCTACCAAGCTAGTGAAGTGGAACCACAGGATTGACTGCTGTCAATGGGAGGGTGTCACTTGCAACGGTGAAGGCCAAGTTATTGGTCTTGACCTCAGCGCTGAATCATTCTCGGGTAGTATCACTCCATTAGCTGATCTTAAGTTTCTCTCGATTGTCCGTCTTGATGGGAACAATTTATCTGCACCAATTCCAGAGTTCTTTGCGGAATTCACCAATCTAACTGTCTTGAGTCTAAGTTCCTGCAACTTGATAGGAGAGGCACCTCAGAAAATATTCCAGGTACCAACTCTGCAAACAATTGACTTATCAGTGAATGAGATGCTTGGGGGCTCTTTACCTGAATTTCCTTCAAAAGGATCTCTACAAAACCTGGTTCTTAGTAATACAATATTTTCAGGAAGTTTACCTGAGTCGGTAGCGAACCTTAGGAACTTGTCGCGTGTTGAACTTAGAGCTTGTAATTTTACAGGTCCAATTCCATCTTCTATGGAAAATCTAACCCAGCTTGTTCTTCTGGATTTCAATTTGAATAGCTTCACAGGTTCATTTCCTTCTTTTAAGCTGTCCAAAAATCTCACTGATTTAAACTCGGCTAGAAACCGTTTGACAGGAATTTCATCAGACTGGGAAGGCTTTGAGAATCTTAAGTATCTTGACTTGAGTAACAATTCAATCTCTGGGCTCATTCCAGAATCCTTGTTTTACTTACCCTCACTTTCAGCTTTAGATCTGTCCAACAACAAGTTTTCTGGCCAAATAACTGATTTACAAAATGTTGTTTCTCCACTAGAAAGTCTTGAGTTGAGTTCCAACAAATTAGAAGGGCCAATACCTGAGTTTTTATTTGAGCTGCATGGTCTTTACGATCTTTCACTTTCATTCAACAAGTTTAACGGTACTGTGCAGTTGAAAAAGTTCACCAACCTCAGTAAACTAGTAGATCTTGATCTGTCCCACAACAATTTATCAGTTGACACAACTATAAGTGAATCAGAACTTGCTTTGCTACCCCAGCTAAATAGCTTCATGTTAGCATCATGCAATCTGCA